CTGACCCCCCCAGCATCTGGCTGGCATCTGGCGCTCCTGATTCGCTCCCAGGCCTGGTTGGTGACACCCCGCAGCTTCCCAGTCCAGGAACCCATCTGACTTACGGAGGGCATCATGCCTGCCCCGCCGTGTGCCGCCTCCAGGTTTCAGGAGGTGGGCGGAGGTCAGTAAGGGGAAGTGGCTGCTGTGGCCTGGCCTCTCCTCCCTGAGGGGTCTTAGCTCATCAGCCATTTGGGAGCCCGACATGAGTCCAGGCAGGCTCTGGGACGGGATCCCAATGCCCAGGCTAGAAGTTCCCAGGTGGGGCCAGGAGCTGAGTGCCAGGTCGGGCCGGGTCACACTCATTTCTCTGCGAGTGGCCAGCCACCAGCCGTGAGCCCTCCTCCAGCTGCAAGGGACTGGACAGTGACCTCGCTGTGTGTGTCCATCCTGGGCTTTCCAGGGAACGGGGTGGCAGCTGATGCAGGAGGCAAGGGCCCAGGTCACTGCCATCCAGGGAGGCTCAGGATGGGGTGGGGGGCAGGGGAGATCAATGCGTCCATTTCAAAGGAAGCCAAGGTGCTCCATCCCTAAGACCTTGCTCTGGGATTCCCTTTGAGGCGCCTGTGTGGGGTCCCTCAGTGCCCAAGTCTCTGGGCATTACCTCATACCTCGGTCCTCCCTGGAGCACCCATTGCCAAAGGCCCACTAAAGAGGACATACTTGTTCAGCCCAATTTGTGCTACCACATCGAGGCACTCACACACCCACACGGGGCCTGAACACAGCAGAGCAAGAACAAGAAGTACCAGTAGAAACAGAACAAGGTGACGAGAGAATGTGAGAGAAAAAAGAAAAACCAGAGACAGAAAAAGCCAGGACGGCACAGGAAATAACCAACAGGCAGGAAGAGGAGGAAGAAAAGAGTATGTTGAGGGGAATCACAAAATTCAGATGCTTCCCCTGTCTGAGCCTCAACATCCCGGCCTGCAAAATGGGTCTTCTCACAGAGTGGAAGTGGGGAAGGGGGGCGGGCAGGAAGCAGAAGAAGAGAAGGAAGGGGAGGGCAGTATGCCATGCTGGGGTGCAGCAAGAGGGGCCCAGCGCAGAGGAGTAGGGGCGTTTCCTGCAACCCCGGGCGAGTCAGCGGCAGCTGTGGCAGTCACGATGTTTATGCCACGAGAAGGGGGTGATGACATATCCTGGAACAAGTTGTTGTTGTCGTCTCTAGAGCGGGAAACTGGGTCATGGGGGCAGTAGAGGGACAGGGGGAGGGTGACGGGGCCATGGTGAGCAGGCAGGCAGGGCCTCTAAGCCCAAGGCCAGGAAGAAGAAAGGAAACCCCTGATGCCAGCCGTGGCGGCTCATGGCCCCACACCCCCCGTTGTGAAAGCCAGGGTGTCAAGAGGCTTGAAAGGGAAGTCGTAGACCCATTCACCCACAAATGGTGAATGAATGAATGAAAGGTACTAAGAAGCTGGCGCTGTACTACATGCTGGAGACACAGCGTTAAGCAAAATGAGACCTGTCACCGGAAGGAAAACGTGCAGGGAGCAAATAATCACCCCAGTAAGAGTGCAGCTGTATCTGGGATGCGTGCTTCTAGAGGAAGGTCTTGGGCAGCAGACCATGTCAGAGAGGTCAGGGAGGGCTGCTTGGAGGAGGTGACACTTGAGCTGGCGAGGAGATAGCCAGGCAGAGAGGTGAGGAAAGAGCATCGCAGGCAGAAGGGACAGGGGGTACAAAGGCCCTGCCCAAGGTGTGGCTAGACCATAGAAGGCGAGGGGGTGCCCTGCGAAACGGCGTTGGGGAGGAGGACAGGGCTGGGGCCCCTGGGGGGGCGGCGCTTTGGACTTTATTCTAAGGACAGGGAGCCACTGAAGTGACAGGACCTGAACTGTCTCAAAGCATCGCCCCGGGGAGAATGGACTGTAGGAGCAGGGGTGCGATAAGAAAGGAGGACGCCATGAGGAGCCACCAAAGTCACCATGGGGGATGGCAGGATGGCAAGCCAGGGTGGTGGCTGTGGAGATGGAGAAAAGGAGTCCAGTTTGGGACTTGAAACTCACAGGATGTGGTAATGGATAAACTGCCAGGGAATGCAGCAATGAAGGAGGGGGTTCTAACAGGTCAGTCAGGTAGGGGGGTGAAGGGAGAGCACCCCTTGGCCTAGAGCCACCAGGGCGGCTGTGTGCTTAAGAGCCCCTGGCATTTTCTGCCTCCAAATGGTGGCATCTAAGAGCTGACCTGGAATGCTGTGTCCACAGAAGAGCCCCGTGGGTCAGGACTGACTTCCTAAAGGAGACGCAGGATGAGGCCCAGCGGGTGGGTGGGGACTTGTCGTGGGGCCAAGGCGGTCCCAGGCATGGCTGTAGAAAAGGCTTAGCTGCAGGCATCTTGCAGGCGAAGCGGAGCTCCAGAAAGTGAGCATGAAGAGAACTTGGCCACAGTCCTACATGGAAAGAAAGCGGCTTGTTTGATTTTGTAACGGAAAGCCCCAGATCACCGGCTCCGTGACCCCAGGGCCCTGTGCATTTTGTTTACTGCCATGTGTCTCAGATCACAAAGTAGGGGCTCAAAACTGATGTGAAATACATGCACGAGCAGGAAGCTGGTATGGAACTTGGCTCTTCACAACAACAGAGCCAAACAAGAAAGCAAGTGCTGGGACGTGGTCAGACCTTCCTGAGGCCCTGGATTCGGCCGCTCACTGGCCAAATGGCTCAGGCGGGAGCTCCCTCCTCCTCTACCCCCAAGGGCCTACGGACTCAGCCTTGGGTTGACTCTAGGGTTCCCAGAATAGGGCTTTGAGCCCAGTAGATGGGAATGGGGAGGTGCGGGAGGGCTGGGGGGAAAGGAGGTCACACCCTCTTTCCCAGGCCCGGGTAACCAGAGCCCAGCACATAGCTGGGCAGCGCGAGGGACTGGGCGCGCAGGAGGCCCGCCGGGCAGCCTGACATCTGCCATCCCTGGTGAAATGTGATCTGCCGCCCTGGGGAGCAAGGAGGGGCATGAGATCCACACGCCTCATTAAACCCAGCCTCAGGGTGCCCAGGAATCCCTGTCATGCCTCCAGGGCTCTGCCCTGTCTGGGTATGGGGAGGACTCGAGGTGGGGACAGGAAAGGAGGTTGGCCACAGGAAGGGCAGCTGAGGGCAGCCCCCAAGCTTGCTGTGGCCTTCCCGTGACACCTGACTATGCTGCTAACCCTTCTGTCCAGCGGCTCCTGCACGCCAGGCCCCAGAGTGGGCGCACGCACACCGCCAGGACCGTGGCTGGGGGTCCTCTGGAACAGGGGCCAGGAGACCAGCATTCTAGTCCCGCCTCATCTCCGCTTCAGCACCTGTCAAAGCCTGTGGCTCACCCACTCTGAGCGTGAGCAGTGAGGGCGGAGAGGCTATCTGTACGGAATGAGTGCTCCACGGCCACGTGGAAATGGGGGCTGAGACGCAAAAGTCATCACGGCTCAGCACTGCAGCAATACATGTGGGAGAGCCCTGTTAGAACCAGGGGCCTGGCGAGGGCGCCGAGGGGGGAGCAAGGGCCTGGGGGATGTTGCCCAGAGTCAGAGAGAGGCTGGACCAGACCAGGGGGCAGGCTGGGGCTGAGGGGCCCGGCCAGAGCCCCCGGCCAGAGAGGAGGCCGAGCCCATGGCTGCTGCTGAGCCTCGGGGCCCGAGTGCCCACACTCGGAGAAGCCCAGGAAGGGCCAGGCTAAGGTCCTGGGCCAGTGGGGCACTGGGAACTGCAGCCAGAAGTCCAGGCTTGAGGCGCCTGAACGGTAGACTTCAGATCTTTCTAATACTTGGTCCAGAGTCACTCAGACATGAGAGCTGACCCTTGATGAGCTCCTGTCCTTTATGCGCATCGCATCTCTCCCCATCCACATGTCACCAGACCCTGTCAAACCTGCCTCCTCAACATCTCAGGAACTTACCCCTCCCTGCCACCCCACTCCCTCTTCTCCCCACCAGGCTCAACTCACCGGGAAGACAGTACCTGGCAGCCTTATAACCTGTCTGCCTGTCTTAGATCCACTCCTCCTCAAAAAAGAATGGATGTGCTCAAAACATACACCTGAGCCTGGGCCTTTCTGATATAAAGCCCTTCTGTTTCTCCTGAGAAGCTAAGATTAGAGGCTTGTGAGGCCCACCTCCCTCACTGCAGACTCACCGGTCATCACCCCCACCTCCCTCACGCTCCAGTGCTCTGAGCGCCTCCAGCTCCCTAACTACCCTCTTCCCTGCTGCCTCTGGGCCTTTGCACATGCTCTCCCTTAGCTAGAGTGCTCTTCCTACCACCCTCTCCCCACTCCAATCCAGATGGCCCCATTTGTCCTTCAGGTCTCTGATGGTTACTTCCTCTAGGATGCCTTCCTTGCTCCTCCCAAGCTGGGTAAGGGCCCCCCCTGAGCTCCATGTTCTCCCACCAAATACATTGGGATTGCCCTTCAACTTGATGAACACTCCTTCCTCCACCCCCAGTGTAATCCCATGACAACAGTCATGGTCTGGCAGGTTCCTGGGTCAGCCTCGCAGAGCATCTGGAACACACAAGGGCCTCCAAAACTACTTGACTGACTGTCTTTCAGCTGATTGAGTGTTGCTTAGCTGACGGTCTTCCTGCATGACTTTCCCTCTCACTGGAGGCCACAGCATGGGGCAAACTGGCCACGGGGAACAGGATGGGGGAACAGAGAAGGGAAGGGGGGACACGATCCTCCACCTAGCCTTACCCCAAGGAATAAAAAAACCACCAGGGTCCTTACACAATTTGCCCTTGGGACACAGGCCTGCTCTCCATCCAGGAGCGGAACAAAACATTTCTCTCTTAGACCTCTCCTCTTCTTCCTCCTCTTCCTCCCCCCTCCCTCCTAGGCCCTCAGGCCCTGCTCAGAGCAGCCGTACACCAGCTGACAGCTGGGCGTGCCAGCCCCTGCCAGCCCTTCCCCAGGGTCAGGTGATCTCCCTTCCCCAGGCCCGCGGGGCAGACCTGAGTCTAGGCAGACGTCTCCACCAGCGCTAGGGTGGACAGTGAGTTCTCTGTGCTGGGACTCTGGGAAGGGCCTTTCTTTGCCAGGGGCCTGCAGTCGGCAGGCACTGAAAGAAGAGACAACTTTCCACTGGACCTTCCCTTCCACCCACTCCCTTCCCTGCTGGCCCTCCAGGAAGGAGGCCCTGGTGAGTGCCGCCTCGGGGGATAGGACAGGGAGGGCCTGGTTGGTGGTGCCTGAGGGTCCATCCAGGACAGGGCGACCCCCTACCTCCTGACAAGGGTCCACCCTGTGGAGGTGCCAGTCCGTCTGTGCGTGTCTGTACATCTGTGTGTACCTGTGTATATGGGGGAGGGGGGAGGAGGGGATGCCAGGTCAGTTCAGTAGCATAGAAACTCTGTCGTTCGCTCTTCTCCCATCTCTATCCCCTTCTCCTAGAGTAATTCCAGCCCTTCCTAGGGTGTCCGGGTGTCCTACGGTGTCTCTAACCTTGGCCTCCGCATGAAGGCAGGGAGGGCTCTGGTGCGCTGGGACTGCAGAGGAAGCCCTGTGGCAGGTACAGGGGTTGGAGCCAATGATTCCCGCTGTTTAACCCTTAACAGAGGCAGCGGTCACAGGAGAAGTTGGCAAAACCCCCTGGGCTCCCAGAACGGCGTGTCCTGTCCCAGCAGCCCCACCCTTCCGCAGGGTGGGGGCGGAGCGCGAGGCTGGGATGATGTCAGCGCCTGTGCGCAGCAGCCCGTGGCCTGGGTACGGGGTGGCCCGTGGAGTGCTGGTAGACCACGGGCACCGCCAGGGGCCCCTCCCCTGGGCTCTTCCTGGCCCTGCAGTAAACCTGAGACATGAGCCTGTCTGCGCCTGTCACAGTCCCCAGGATCTCCGGGGACCTAAACACATCCATGCTAGGTTCCTTCTCCAGAGATTCGGATCCTGTGGGCAGGACCCAGGCTTCCCCAGCTTTTTAAAGCTACCAATTTATGTTCAAACCTTTTTTTACTATGAAAAACTTTAAGCCTACAGGAAAGAGTAGAGGGAATGATATCCTGAATGCTTGCATATCCTACACCAGGATTTACATATTTGACATATTTACATGTTTGGCCTTTGCCATATTTGCTTTATCAACTACTCGAAGGCGAAAGTATTTGAAGTAGTTTATGGACATCACCGCAATCCCCTCAAAGCACTTCAGTAGGTTCTTACACAACCGCAAAACCATTATCCCATTAATAAAATTAACAACTCCCGAAGAACGTCCACATCTAGCCCATATTCAAATTTCAGTGACCCCCTAGATGTTTCTTATTGCTTTGTTTACACCAGGATCCAATCAAGGTATATGGGTCACTATGTCTTCTAAGTCCTTTTCAATCTAAAACCGTCTCTACCAACCACCTCCCACCACTGCCACCCCCTCTGCCCCCGCCCCCAACCCACCTTGCTGACTTGAAGAGCCAGTTGTCCCACAGGAGGGAGAGAATATGGCTGGGTCAGAGAACACTCAGTGCAGAAAGGGAAACGGAGGCCCAGAGAGAAAGGGACAGGGAATCTGAGGCAGAACCAGATCTCCTGGTCCCCTCCTGTGCCGTGCTCCCCCTGAGCTCCCTCAGATCTCCTTATCAGGGATCTGAGAAATCCTCTGCAAAGGGCCTGTGGCCCCTGGGACGCTCCTGGCTGTCTGTCCCGGTGCATCCTGGGGGCGGCAGGCCAGGCCAAGCCATACCGTGGCTCCCCCGCTCTCTCCTGCTCAGAGCAGGGCACCTGAATAAATCCTGGCCGTATGGTTGCTACCTTGTTCACTAGCAGCCGCAGGGAACGGCAATCAACTTTATGAGTGTTGGGTTGTTTAGGGAAGCGAGATGAGAGGCCAGGAGGGGCTCCAGGAATGGGGGATGTGGGGGCTCACTGAGCGCCCGTTACTCTTCCTCACTGAGCAGGGCTGGCGCACCTGCAGCTGCAGGGGGGAGTGGGGTCCAGCCGCCCGGGGAGGGACTGGTTGAGTGGGGACGCCTAGGACCATGTTCCCCTTAACTCAAAGATGCCCTCCAGCTCTGGCGCCGTTCCCCTTGTTTGGCAAGCCCTGTGCCCAGCTTTGGGGCCCCTCACCCTGTGAATGGAGCCAGGCACGCCACTCCTCAGAACACGCCTCACCAAGGGCGGGAAGCTCCCCCCTAGCCAGGCACCCCTCAGAAAAAGTGGGGCGTGGTGGGAGGAGGAGGGGATGTGGAGGGGCATCAACCTTGGTGCTCACTTCTGAGTTCGTGAGAAACCGCCCTTGGGCGGCCCTTAAGCCGCAGTTCTGGGCTCTGTGAGGCCAGGCCTGGCAAACCCAGGTCCCCCCTACGGGGCCAGGGCTGCAGGCTGTGGAGTGAGGGCCCCAGCGACTCCTCTGGGCAGTTCCGGCACGGCTGCTGCTGCCCTCTGCTGGGGAGAGGCTCGCTCATGTGCTCCCTGAGCAGACAGGCTCACCAGAGCTGGCCAGCCCCACTCTGTGGTCTGAAGAGCCTCGACCACACACTCACACGCACACACTCACACATTCAGCTACGCGATCACACGCCTGTCCCACCCATGATTGCATTTTGACCCAAAAAGGCCATGTCTTCTTGCAGCCCTAAAGTTGTCATTCTAACCACTGACGGAATCTATCTCTGGCTCAAAGGCCTCTTACGTAAGGCAGGTGGCTGCCGATCTAGTACTTAGAGAAAGGTGGGGAGAGGCAGCAAAGGGGGTCAGAGCTTGGGAAGTGTGCAGGTCTGCGTGGTTAGCAGTATCCAAGATCCTGGATGCAGCTTCAAGGGGGCAAGGTCCTGGGGGTGCACGGGGATGCTGTGGAGCCATGACTAGCCAGGAGCAAGGTGGCCGAGGACCCGTGGTGCTGTCATGAGGTCAAGATGTCTTAGGAGTTGGGGAGGGGGAAGCCTCCCAGCCTCTGCCTCTCCCGAGTGGGCCTTCCAGGGGCACTTGGATTCTTGAGTCATCTTCGCCCCATGCGTCTCCTGCTCTGACAGCAAGCCCAGAACATTGCTGATTGCTGCCACTAAGGACATTTGTCAGGGGCTGAAGGGCTTCTAACCTAATAATCACTGTATTAAAATCGCATTTGGTCCTCAACCTGGAGGAACATTGGGAGATTTTAAATGTTAAGAGAAAAGGAAAGAGAGAAAAAAATCTTCTCTCCAAGGATGAAATGAGCCCCGAAATAAGTCTGTTGTGACTGAGGAATATGCAGCATTGCTCTGTGGTTCAGGGTCTTAAGCCTTCCCTGGGGAACGGAGGCTCTGCAAAGCCACATATTTCAGCCACAGCCAGGAAGGTGATGTGTGAAGGCCCCCAGTGTTCGGTATTGATCCCATCGGGTGGGGGACCGCGCAGACTGAGGGCATACACCATCCTACAGCCCTTGAGTCATTTTTAGAATGGATTTTAAGACACGATTTTTTCTCCCCCCAGAAAATAATCTTGTGCTTTCCCAGCCTGGACAGCCCCGGATGATCCACAACCCTTTGCCACATGAGAAACTCCAAAATCCTCCTGCCCATTACGACCTAAGCAGTTTTAAATGGTTTTCGGGTCCTCTCATCTCTAATAGATTAAAAAAATGCTCCCTTGGGCATTCGCAGAGACATTGAGTGGTACTTGTACCAAACCTCTGGCTCCGAGAGACCTGTGAAATGTACAGCAGGACTTCCGAGGTGAGAGGGCACGCCATAAACCATGCTGCTTTTGAGTCCGCAGCCTGACGCATCTCATACTGCTGTCTGCTGGTTCATAATCATCTCCTACCCTGAACGCTCCCCCACCAGACTTATTGGGATGCGGTCCAGGAGGCTTCCACACCTCACGGTCTCAAGCCACCCCCTCCTCCCTGGCCCAGGCAGGAGCCAGATGGGCACCTCCAGTCCATGTGGCCAGGCCCTCTCTCTGGCTGCTAGGCCAGCGAGCAGAGCAGTTTGGAGTGCATTCAGTGGGCCAGGCTTCCCACCACTCAGAGCCCTTCCTCTGGTCTCCCGGCTGGTCCTGCACTTCCTGATTGCTCCCTGCGCATCCCATCCCTGGGACGGGCCCTCCTCAACTTCCCCCAGGCCCACCTGGCATCTCTCCCAGTCTCAGACCCCATCCTGGACCCATGACACCACCCCCGCCTCAGCTGACAGCGGTCTCTCTCCTAACCTTTTCAACTAGGGCTCCATTTCAACACAATTTGTTCCCTACAAGTCCCCCTGCGATACTCATTATACTTTTAGTATCCGTTGATTGAGAAAATGGATGATGATAAAAACTACTTGGAACTCAATAATGCCTTTAAATGAATTTGTATTTTGGTAATCACCACAGTGCTTATATACATTTGAGAAGTTATCGTGCTCCAAGGGTATTACTGTTCTGGCCTGAAGATGATGCTTGATGGTGATGTGGCTTCGGGAAGGTCTAGACTGGCCCACAGATGGGAGCCCTTCACCCTCAGCACTGCGGACCCACACTGCTGAGCACCCCGTCGCACCCTGTCTGCCAGCCCTGCACTGCCTAGCCAGGTGCAAGCTCCTGGAAGGCCCCCATTTCTGGCCACTAAGGCTGTGTGAGGCTGCGTGGAGAGAGCCTCAGGCAGGCCCCTGGCCCTCAGCCCTTTAGGACAGACAGGCCCCCTATGGCCGAATCCCAGCTAGAGTAGCTCTGGACTGTGGGGCAGCTCTTCAAGGTCTCAGACCCTCAGTGTCTCCACCTGAAAATGAGTCTCTTCAGAAACAGAGATGGGGATGGTAAAGCCAGAGATTCACAAGAGTAGCTAGTATCATATAGGATATATTTGGGCAGTGAAGTATCTGAGGGCCTGATTCAGGTGAGGTTGTTTTCCACTTCTGCGTTCCCTGCCAAGGACTTGGCTGTGAGTTGGGTGTATTAGTCAGGACGCACTAGGCTGTGTCGTATAACAAACCATGCCCAAATCTCAGGGGCCTTCTACAGCAGAGACATATTTCTCTATCAGGCTGCGTATCCGACATGCATAGTCACTCAGACAGTGACCGTGCTTCTGAGATGACCAGCGCCAGGGAGAAAGGACGCGCGGAACTGCTTACGCTCCCACCGGAAGTGACGTTTGTCACTCCCATCCCTGTTATGTTGGTGGAGGCAAATCATGCGGCTGTACTTACCTTCAGAGGGCAGGGGAAGTGCAATCATCCCACATTCCCACAGGAAACACCAGACTCTTTGCGAACAGGCCAATGACCACAGTCTGCCAGCTTGCTTCCAGATTTAAGGAGCTGACAGGCTTTCATGAGATACAGTTCAGGACCAATTTAGTCCAAGTTTGAACTGGTACAAGTTTGATTCGAGGTTTCGCCTGCTGTCTTCCTCCCTAAAATGGCAGTGGCAAGCTTGAAAAGAGGCCTATCTCCTGTAATTTTTAATTAACTCGCGTTTCGTATGTGGGTAGAGATTATATACGCACAGACTCTCCGGAAATAAAAGGTACCAACTGGTAGCAACGAGCCACGAGGCACCCATTCACCTCAGTGTGATGGAGGCCTCTGTCACCGTGGCTGGCATCACTTGTATTGTCATCTGTCTCCACTCTGGAAGCCAAATACAACAGCAGACCCTGCTGTCCATGACCCTCCCTTCAGCCCAGGGAATGTCCCCCAGCCCTGCAGCAAGCTGGCTGTCACTTGGGTCCCTTGGGGCTACACTGACACAAGCATTTAACAACCAGCTGGGTGGGAGCACCCATCAGAGAATTAGCCCTTGAGCCTCCTGGAGTGAGCCCAGAGTTATTTCATTCGGGACATAACCCAGTGACAGGGTAGAAGGACACAGGGACCTGGGGGCATGTGTCTACCACTTTTGAGGGAGGGGCTTCAAGCTGAGCTCTGCTGGCTGGGGCCATCTGACCCTCTGCCCTCCCTCCATCTCTCCTCCTCCCTCCCCAAGAAATACTAGGCCAGGATGCTAGGTGCGGGGGCAGCTGTGGGGGGAGATGTGGGCTGGATAGAGCGACACTTGCCTCCCTTTGACGCACTAGAGAGAACCCTGTGTACTCAGCAAGTGTGTCAGAGGGGTGTAAGGTCCTGTCTCAGGCGGCGCCTCACCTGCCTTCCTGGCACCCAAGCTGAGTCAGCCCCGAGAGCAACCCACGCAGTGACAAGCCTCGAGTGGTGCAGACGCTTGGGAAGAGGCCTCCACAAAGGAATGCTGTGCATTTTGTCATATGAGCATTGTGACCAGGCTATGGCAGTGGGCGGGAATCCAAGGCTCAGACAAACATTAGGGGTTTGTCCTAGGGGCCTCAGCAAGCTAGTGGGACTGCGTGGTATAGGTGTGGGCTCCGGACTCCTTCCCCAGTGCCCTGAGGAAACAGCAGGACCCAGAGGCACCGATCAAAGGCCAAGGCCCCTGCCAATGACAGACGTGCCTGCATGTGGCAAAAGGAAGGTCTGGGTCAAGAAAGATCTGTCAACTTCAATTACCTATTTGGGGCTTTTGAGGGCGGATGGGGAAGAACGGAGGTCTTTCCTCGCTCATTCCCACAGTGCAGGAGGCTGCATGCAAAGACAGGGCCATCCCAAGTTTCCCTGGGAATGGAAGGTCAGTCAGCATCAGTGTCAAGGGGAAGCCACAGAGTCCCTCCCTGAGCAGCAGCAAAGCCCACCTGCCCAGCTCAGGCAGGTGCGGATGCCACTGCCCTCCATCCTCCCTCTGCCCCTTCCCACCAACCTGTGTCAGAACCCCAGATCATACTGTGCTATGTTAGCACCTCATCTGTGCCCTAAGAAGACCCTTGAGAGGAAGGCTCTCCATTTCCCCAGCTGTTGAGTCTAGATTTTTTTTTTAACTTTTTAAAAAAGTAATCTCTATGCCTTACATGGGGCTCAAACTCATGACCCCAAGATCAAGAGTCACGTGCTTTACCAACTGAGCTAGCCAGGTGCCCCAAGCCTAGGTTTTTTAAAAAGTACAGGCTGACTGACTAGCCATCGAACTCCCCACCGCTACAACCCACCCTAAGTTTGCACTGTTGCGCCATGGACTGCCTGGGAGACCAGTCTTCCTGGCTCGCTCTGAGCTCTCTGAGAAAGTTCAGCCGGGGCCCTTGAGAACATCTGGGAATGCCAGTGCCTCTTGGGTCTTGCTGACATCCCTAGCCAGAAGTGCCAAGTAGGTCTATGCCATGCCACAGCTCTCGGTAGACCTACCCGGGCCCCTCATGATGCAGAGGTACGGAGCCCACCCACCACCAAGGCAAGCACCTACTTCGTCAGGTTGGAGGGGGAAGGCTAGGGGTAGTTGGGAAAGGAGAGACCACGCCTGGGGGACAAGGAAACCTGGGTCCCGTCCCAGCACAGCCAGTGACTTGCAGGGGACTTTGGCCAAGTCCCAGCCTCCTTGGGGCTCAGTTTCCTGACTATCAAAGCGGGTCCGCAGCAGCCCTCAGCACCTCCTGCAGCATGGCGGGTAAGTGCGCCATGGGGCTAAGGTGCTCCCTCCTTCCTGGTGGCGTGTACACAGGCAGGTTACTTAACCTTTCTGTGCCCCATTCTCCCCATTTGTGGAACAGGCCAATACCATTACCTCATCGGGGAGTCGTGAAGCCGAACTGGGTTGATCTATATATCAGTGACCTGACACACAGGAAACACTCTGGGCTTATCCCCATTTATTGTCATTTCCTCCCCATGCCACCACAAGGGGACACTGCTGTCCTTAGAGCTCCTTAGGGGAAGAAGGGCGGTGGGCCGCCCCGCACAGCAGCCTGCGGGCTCGCTGGGACACCACCTGGACCTGTCACTTGCTCAGCAAGGCCAGGCCCGCTTGGTTGGTCCTGGGCCCCTTTGGTTTTTCTCTTCTTTCTTCCCTCTTGCCTTTGCCAAATTTGCAAGCAGGATTGGGCTTGCCAAGCAATTGTGCTATCTTGTCATATACGAACTGATCCCCGAGCCAATTTCTGATCTGCCTCTGCATCTAGATGCCTCCTACCAACTTCCCAGCTCGTGGGACAGGCTCCAAATGGGGCTCTCTGTGCAGTCCTAGAGCAGCCGGGATGAAGGCTTGGGCTGCTGTGTCAGCAGAGCCCCTTGCCACAGCCCCCACCCCCACAGCACACACACCCGACACCTGGCCCGTAACCCTAACCTCCCCAGTCACGCTCCAGCCACGCAGGCAGCTCTCCGAAGCTTCACCCCCCGCATCTGGCAAAGCAAATGCACATACCAGGCAAAACACCCCGCCCTTCCTAAAGGGGCACCCTGTGGCCCGAAAGACAGTGGCCGATGTGAAAGAGGACTTTGTGGGGGGTCAGGACGTATAAATGAGTTGGGCTGAGGCTTTCAAGGCCACCTGGTGCCAGAGGTCAAGGTGGGTGGCAGGAGGCTCTCTGAGCTGGGGACCTGAGCAAATTGATAAGTACTCTGTGCATGCAGCCAGCTGGCCGTGCCCATGGTCTGGACTGGAGGTCATTTAGAGTGTTAATCATGTCCAGTCCTGCCCAGCTTGGTGGCATCCGTGGCCAGGAGTCCAGCAGAGGCGAGAGTATTAATAACTCGCGGTGACGGGCACCCCTGCGGGAACGTCCTCTCACAGGACAGGACGTATGCGGCCACAAGAGCCTCCCCTCAAAGTGTCTCCTTGGCACTCTCCTGAGCCAAAGTCAGGATGTCTTTCGGGGCTGCATTTCCAGCCCAATTTCCGGCAAGCCCCCCCCCCCCGCCCCGCCCCTGGAAGGAAAAGGGAGCAGCAGGGAACAAGGTCCAGAGACCAGCGGCCCCCGCTATTCTCCTGAGTCGCTCCTGGCCCGGGCAGGGCGCCTCACGCCTCGTTTCCCTCACGTGCAAAGTGGCAGTGAGAAAGCCTGCCTTCCTCACGACCCGGAGCTGCTGGGAAAATATGACCGCCGCGGCAATAACGCTAGAAATAATAATGATAAATCATATTTAGTAGGTAGTTAGCTCTGGGCCTTCAGCTAACCTTTTCATGGGCTTTATCTCAATTTTGTCCTAAGTCCATGAGGCAGGGATCCTTACTATTTCTTTCTACAGATGGGGAAAGTGGGGCCCAGAGAGGTGTGGTAACTTCTCAAGGCCACACAGCAATTATGTTGTGGAGCCATGAGGCAGATGGAGGTGCATCTGTACCCCTTAAGCCCATCTGCTCGAGAGGCCGAGTGCCCCAATAGCAGGGACTCTGCTCTCTTCTTGGGCCTGGAACCAATGTTCCCAAAGGCAGGCAGGAAACGTGACAGGAGTTAAGACAATCTCGGCATTCTGGAAGCCTACTGTTGTGTGTATTGTTTGATTTTCTTTTTAATTGTCTTAGTATTTAAATTCAAAAGGCACAGAGCCGTCTTTAGAGAAGTCTACCTCTCCTCCTGGCTCCCTGGAGGCAACGCTGTTACCAGTTTCTTGTAACAGATTATTCCAGAAGTGACTGATGCCTCTTTACCATCTTGTTCAACTACCAGCGGGGTCGTGGCTGGGAACTGTCGGCCCTTCTCTTCCCCCCAGCAGCCTGTCCCCTCACATCATTTCTACCTTCCCCCTCTGCTCTCAGGGGCCCCCTCCCAGGCTCACAGAGGGACAGCTGTGCCCTGACGGTGACGAAGGCCAAAAAGGAGCAAACTGAGGACCACGGACAGCTGGCCGCCTGTCCGGGAGCTGCCACCCCTGGCCCAGGCCTTCCTCCTGTGGACACATGGTTGTGCAGGACAGCACGGACGCCGGGGATGCCAGAGCAGGCGTGCAGCTGGAGCCCTTCCTGCACCAGGTCGGAGGGCACCTGAGTGTGATGAAGTATGATGAGCACACTGTGTGCAAGCCCCTCATCTCCCGGGAGCAGAGGTTTTACGAGTCCCTGCCCCTGGCCATGAAGCGGTTCACTCCGCAGTACAAAGGTGAGTGTCCGGACGTGGCTCTGTGCCTGCCGTGCTGGGCCAGGCCTATCTGCGTGAGCCCACGGGTTCCTCGCGCCGGGCCGTGTGGGCAGGAGTTGCCGTGGGGACACGCCCCTCCCCCACAGCCCGCTTGACCTTCACTGTCCCCGTTTCTCTGAACTCTTCAGGCCTCCAGGCCTGGAGTCTAGTGCCGTTTGGCATCCCTAGAAATTAGCGCCAGCCACCAGACTTCGAGGAATTGAGAATGGAATCAAATGATACCCCAGCCCCACCCTGCTCTGCTAGGGTATCCGGTCTGTGCTTCAGGAGTGCCACGGCTGGGTCCTGTGACCAGGGCTGGGAAAGACAGGACAGGCTGAGGCCTCCTTTACCTTTGGGGACCCCGGCGGGTGGGAGGAGCCTCAGGCCTGGGTCAGGCCATGAAGGAGCTGGGACCTGACGTGTTTAGGAAACCAGAATTCCTGCCCTCGTCTCGTGGCAAAGCCAGGGCTGTGGGCTGCCTCTGAGGTTCAGCTGGGGAAACAGGGCACTGAGCAGTGTGTGTTCTGGATCCGAGCACAAAGTAGGTTCTGGGGAGGGAAGGTGGGGTGGGGAGGGCTGCTGTTTGGGGGCCTCCAGGCAGGGGCACTCTGGGCGGCCGGCCGGCATCCATGGAACAGGGTTTTAGTCCACACCCAGCCTTCAATACATGCGGTTCACAGGGCTCTGCCAGCCTCCAGTCTCTCAGTGGAACGAGTGCCCAAAAAAATCTATTTTAAAGGTGTTTAAATGTTGGGACTACGAGCTTCCGCCCTCACTGTCCAAGTATCTGTAGTAAGAGTGATGAAAATCTCCAAATAAGCCCGTCAAAAACTCACTTGCATTTCAATGGTCAGGGTAACCGGGAAGGATGGGGAGTGTCTAAACCGGTGCTTCTCAGAGTGTGATCTGGGACTAACCAGCTCTACCAGAATTGCTGGTGTGTGGGTTACAATGCAGATTCCCAGGCTGCATTCCAGACCCGGGGACCAGAACCCCTGGGGTCAGGGCCCAGGAATGTGTATTTAGCGTGTTCCAGATTGAGACTCACTGATAGGGGGCCAAGGCCTTGAGCCCTAGGCAGGGCTTCAGCCCCAGTTAGCCAAGACCTTCCGGGAGTCTGAGACAAAACCCGTGAGCATCATACGCTGAGAGACAAGGGCGGACGGCTGGTGTACGGCCTGTGTGGGCCTCCCCTGCGGCCTCTGGGGCCGCAGGCCGGTGTTTCCCATCAGCTGTGGGTCACTGCCCATCTTGTCAGAGCACCCACCGGAATGAATGGCTCTCCTTTTGCAACTGAACTCAACCTAGCAACGCAGTGGCAGGATTTTGCATGGGGTGGCCTCCTGCCCGCAGCATTTCACGCTTGTTGGACAGGGCTCTGAAGCTGAGACAGACGGCCAGGCAGCCACAGGCAAAGCAGGAAAGTGAAAGAGGCTGGTTGGTCTCCAGGACCCCATCCTGATGCCCTCCCTGGGTCCATCTACACGTGCCCATTCCTCTGGGCGGGGGGGAAACAGAACCACTCTTGGGCTCTGGTCTACTGTCCAGACCCTGCTCTACCCTGCCTCCCAGGCCGGGGTGGGCCCATCCCCAGTACTGCCTGCCTTAGATTCACTTCAGCCAAGACATCATAGCTACATGTATCAACGGCCAGAGAACATGTTTCTGTCTCTGCCTTAGAGTTTCACTCCGGAGATGGTGTTTCCATGCAGGTCGGGAGGGGACTGGGTTGGGAAACACGTGACACCCTCCGGCGAGACCACACAGCCCTCCTGAAGGCGGGCTCCCAGACTAGGGTGACGCCCAAACACGAGGTGTCACTGATGCAGAAACAGGGATTCACTCAATAGCCAGAACACATGGGCGATGTACCATGGGCCAGGCACCACCATCTAGGGAGATGCTAGAGAAAGGCCCAGAACCAGGACCCTCACACTCTCCGATGCCTGGAACACGTTGCTGAGGTTGGGTTTTAGATGGGAAACAGTCCGGGCCCTGAGGCCAGGCAGGCTTCTTGTTTCCCTGGAGAAGAAAAGTGGTGTCAGCTAACCCTTGGTATTTACTCAGTAGTCTCCACATATTAGCTCAATCCTCACAACAAGCTTCTGAGGGAGGTACTACTATTATCCTCACTTCACAGGTGAGGAAACTGAGGCACAGAGAGGTGACATGTCTTGCCTCAGGCCACACAGCCAGTGAGAGGCAGAGCCAGGATTCAAAACTCTGAGGTCTGGCTCCCAAGTGTGCGCTCTCGGCCACCAGGGCCTGCTTCCACAGCACCGTCACCCAAGAGATGAGTTTCTCACGTGCCAGTCCTCGGGGGGGTCATCAGCCCAACAAAAGAGGGGGGTATGACTTGCCCAGAGTCACTCAGCTAGTGACCTTAGGTCAGGGGGGCTCGAATGCCCACAAGGCTGCCAACGGGGGGGCGGGGGGTCTCCCTTTTTCTCCCCCATGGGAACAGCCCCAGAGAGAGGGGTTGTTTCTCTGGAGGCTGCTGCATGCCACGAAGCATGTCCTCTCCCTTCTCACTGCCCTGCACTGTGGTGGCATCAGGGAGTGCTAGGCAGGGACGTCACTCCCAAGGGCAGCGTCCCCATGCCAGGAGCTTGCCTGGGCCTTTTGCTGAGCTTCCAGGTCATGACAACATCTTGGGGCCGCCTCCCCTGCCTCCCAGTGTGCCTGTCAGGTTTGAGTGAGCAAGGACATACTCCTGGGTCCAGCTGGTTGACGGATGAGCCAGATTCATATTACAGACGCCGGCAACTAAATGCTCTCACGAGCTTAAAAATAAATACATGACAGAATATTCACGGAGGCTGGGGAAGCTGCTTGGCCGAACCGAAAACTGCTGAGATGCTCCGGGCATGGCAGTCAGGCCGTAAGCATGCTCGTCTGCCCAGCTGGCAGGGCTGAAGTTGAGGTGCTTGGGGAGGGCTGGTGAGCGGGCAGACAGGGCTCCCCTGGCTGGGTAGAGGCGGCCGAGTGCCGGGAGCCCAAGCCCCCCAAGGCCTAGTGTCCATGGACACATGAGGCAAGCTGCAAAGCCGGGCCCTACATCATTCTTGACTACAAACCCATCCGGGCCCCGAGGAGTCTGGGTTCCATTGACACACAGCTTCGGTAAAGAACCGGCACCTCGAGCCCGCCAGGTGGCTACCTGCTGTGGGTCTCAGGCTTCAGAGGGAAGGTCTGGGCTGCGCTACAGAGGGGTGGAGGGAAGACAGATAGACGGAGACACAGAGCCAGTGGCTCTGTGCAGGAAGACGGAGCAAGGAGGCAGGGACACGGAGCCTGGCTGTGTAGCTCTGACAATATGAGGAATAGAAATGAATGTCGGGTTTTATTGGTTTTGGGTTATTTGTACCTCTGCTCGCCTCCATTTATTTAGATGCTCAGATCTGATGAGACCAGACAAGGGCTGGAGCCTACAGAAGCGGGTGAAGGTCACATTTCTTGTCCTTCCAGGGAAGCCCCCCGGGGTTGGGGCTCCCCGAAATGGCAGTGTCTCACAGGCTTGGGGCCACAGTCCCGCAGGTGGGAGGGGCTGGATGGTGAGCTGAACTTTACCAGCCCCAAAGGGGCCCTGCCCTTGGCTGGCCCACCTTCCTGGGCCCCCACCCCCCCAGGCAGCCAGGAGGCCCCAAGCGCCCCAGGGACAAGCACTGAGGCCAGTTGCTCTCCTTTCCCCACTGGGGAGGGGTGGCGCCGACCCTGGTGCTGGTTTCCAGGTCAGTCCTCCACCACCCCCTCCAACAAGCACGGAGACCCTCCCGCCTGAGGAAACAGGAAGGGAAATGTACACACCGTGTCCTTAGGCTTCTCGGCACCCCCAGGTACTGATGACGCTCACATAGTGGTGGCCTCTTGGCTTCTCTGTTTGTTCCCACGGAACAGAATGGCCAAAACAAACGTGGTAGGGACACGGCAGGAGGTTCCTCGTCCACACACAAGTAAACACAACATGATGACACCGGAGCCTCCCTATAAAGTCCTCGGCTCTGGTACCGCTTGTTCCCTCTTCCGCATCCGCGCCTGCTGTGGCCTCGGACTCCTCGAGGACTGTGTGACCTTGGGCAGGTTATTCAATCTATTGGAGTCTCAGTGACCCCAGGCAAGCGCCTTACCGGCTTGCTAGCGCTCAGTGGTAACAAAGGACAAGCACCCGACACGGGCACACGGCAGCGGTCGTTGCCGCGGCAGTTCTCGCCCTGCCCCGTGCCAGCCCCTCGTTCTTACGAGCTGAACTCCTCTGGTGGGTTCTGACTAGAGACGCGTGCCAGCGCTCGGGTAAACTGCAAAATGCCAGGTGCGGGTGTGGTGTTACTGGTAGTATCATTACTAATTCACGGCACTCGGGGGCCTGAGATGAGCTGAGGAAAAGCAGAATTATTTTAAAAGAACTGGAAAGAACTGCATGTCACTCTCAGGCTGCAAAATTAGGGCACCGGGAATCTGAGATGACAGGACCAGCCCGGAGAGACCGCTGAGCTAGGCACAGATGGCCCTGAAGAGCGACTTGCTGAATTATAGAGCAGCCCTGAAAACGCGCGTCTGCACTGACCAGCCTGGGCAGGGACGCAAGCCGAGGAATCAGCTGCCCTGAGTGCTGGTTCAGCAGAAATTACCACTTGCGTGGAGAAAGTGACCAAGTGGCCGGGGGAGGAAATGAGTCCCCGAGAGGACATGATCACATGCAGCCCACCTTCTCTCAGTCAGAGTCCCAGAAGAAAATGAGTGGTGTGTTTAAAGGGGGTTGAATGAAGAGACTTTTTAGAGGGACTGCTTGTACAAGCGCACACAGGATTAAGGGAGCAACTAGGGTGACAGGGCCCCCAGGGACCAGCACCACTGCGAGGCTCTACCCACCCATGGACCTGGAGGGCCAAAGTCAGGGAACGGTGTCACTGACCCAGCGAGAGGAAGGCCATAGAGGGACAAGACCACACTGCAGCAGGGAGGGCGCCACTGGGATAAGTACCCCGATCTTTCTCCCGCCCCGCCCCCATCTCCTGCCGATGTCTTCCACTGGCCAAACCCATGTGAAACCGGAGGGGCGAGGGCGAGGAAACCATTGGGGCGCCCCACAGGGTCAGCCTCTCAGGCACAAGGCAGGCTGCAGACAGGTGGAGGGAAGCTCGGTGGGAGGAGCAGCAAACCGAATACTCATGGCATCAGTACAGGAAGAACAGGGAACGAAGTACTCCAGAGATCCGGTCCTCACAAAATCATTCATGTGGCCACCTCCCGCCACCATGGAGGGGAGCGTTCCACCTCTGCCAGAACTCTGGCGAGGCTGGGCACCCACCGATACTAAGCCCCCCAGAGGAAGACACGGACTGTGCCGCCAGAGCAAGAAATCCAAAGGGGGTGACCACAGGGCCGTTGACATCCATGCCAGAGCTAACTACCCGACCTGGCTGACGTCTACATTTGTTCACTGGGTGTCTTCACACCCTTCACTCTCACAAGCAGCGGCCGAGCAGGCTCTTGTGCCTTGATTACAAAGACCGATGGTCAGGAGGCGCCGTAGCCGGAGTAACCCCACTAGTCGTCTGTTTTCTATCAAAGAGCCGTGTTCTGTCAATAATATTTGTGTGCTGCGTGTCTAACTGAAGGAAATGGTGAGCGTCAGGGTCAAAGGCAGAGACAGGGCGGGGGCAGGGTACAAATGAAGGCCACAGAGAAGCCAAAGCCCCAGAGGGCGGTCTGAGGTGGGCATCCTGGCAGGAGCTAGTCAGACATAGATAAAATCAAAGCAAGGGAGAGTAAGGATGATGAAGGAGATGGAGGAGACAAAGGGGAGGCATGGCATGGGCCCCAACTTCCCTCAAAGCCACGCTGGGGGAGGGTGCCCTCTTTGCAGAGAACGGGCTTTGATGACCCCAGGTTGGGCCCCGCTGGAATAGCTATGTGGTGACTGGGAAGGCGCCACTGTGCACAGAGGAACCAGAAGGTGAGAACAGAATGTACAGGGCTGGCGGTGCAAGCATGAAAGGGCAGAAAGACGCAATGAAGCAGAGGCTGAGCCCACATCAGCCCAAGGCTATTTTTTTGCAGGCTCCACGGCCCTGGGCTCATTCTGGAACAGTCCCCATAGCTCCTCCTGGAGAGGAGAGTTAGGAAAGCCGAGAGGTTGATCAGTGCCATTAAAAACTACAATTCAAAAGGATGTCACCCCTTGCAGCGCGTGTACCAGGTAAATTCCATCTGGTTTTCCCCTCCCCTCCCCCCGCCCCCCTGTGCTCTGCAGGCACCATCACGGTGCATCTCCGAAAAGACAGCCGAGGCCATCTCAGCCTGGTAGCCAACCCACTGAAGGAGAACCGGGGGCCCTTCAAGGTGTCCACGGAGTCGGCGGCGGTGGCATTATGGCAGACCCTCCAGCAGACCGCCGGTGGCAGCGGTGGCGCCCACACCCTCGCCCAGTGGCGGCACACTCAGCTGGCACACTCACTCAAGGAGAGGTGAGGGCCGCTTGGCAGGATGACGGAAGCTGCCTGGGGGTCAGCACCCCTCCCACCTGGGCCAAGCCTAGCAGCTCTCCATCAGGGCCAAGACATTCAGATGAAGCCTCCATCTAGAAACACCAATGGGACCAAAGAAAGGAGAGTATTTTCCTTCGTGCAATTTTAGAGGGAGGACTCCAATGCCCTTCCCTCAGAAGCTGCCACACATGCAGTCCTGCCAAGAACAGGCATTCAGTACACATTTGGTTAATTAAATACCTGTGTCACGGAGACCATGAAATGTCTCTGGGGGGAAGGGGGGGTGCAAATGCAAAAACCCAGTATAGTTGATACAAAGGAAAAGTGGCTAACAGCAGTCAGAAATCACTTTTGCTTAGCGGCCAGGAAGGGATGAGGAGAGAGATCAACACAGCCCCCTCCCACGCCCCCCACCCCCTGCAGGGTGGGACCTCAGAGATGCAGGCAGCTCAGGGCACCCGAGGTCCTGGAGAGGTCTCCAAAACTTCTAATAATGTTAGCTGACCTTTCTCAGATGCAAAGGACTCCTGGGGACTTATAAAACATTTATGGGAAACAAAAGGGAGCTAATACAATGAAAATACCTCCCTTCCCCAAGGACCACAGTGGATGTAATTAAGCCTCTTGGCGCAGCATCAGGAAGTGGGTATGCATTATCTCCATTTCACAGATGGGGAAGCCAAGATGCACAGGACAGGAGAGAGGGTGGACCAAGCATCCGTGATTCTCACCCCTGTTGGCATTTTAGGCCTCGAGGAAATAACAGCACAGCACACGAACAGCCTAAACCCCAAGCCTTCTAACTCCAGGCAGGGTCAGCGCCCCCATGCTATGTTGCCTCGATAGCGTGAGAGTAACCCAGATCACTTACAAGTGACCTGAAGCCACCACAGCCCTCAGAGGAGGTGACACACTCTAGTGAGTTATTCTGGGGCTCAGAGAGACCCCCGGCCAGGGCTGTTGATCTGGTGCCCAGGGCCTGGATGTGCCAGGAGGGGCTCTCCGAGGCCCTGCAGGCTTCCTGGAGAGTGGCCAGGGACAATGCACATCAGCATCCTGCCCAGGAGAGCCCAGTCGCAGGGACAGGTACCTTTCCCACGGCACCTGTGGCCACGGCTGCCCTGACTATCATGTGCTTCCCTCACCCACAGCCCGCCCACGTCACTCCTGAGGTCGGAGTTCCACCTCAACACCCAAGTGTCCTCGCTGGTGGAAGATGCCAATGGGAACCAGGCCGAGAGGAGGAGCTTTAACCCATGGGGTCTGCAGTGCCACCAGGCCCACCTGACCCGTCTGTGCACTGAGTACCCGGAGAACCAGCGGCACCGTATCCTTGCCTGCACTCCCTGCCCACTCGTGGCGGGGCGGGGGGGGAGATTGAAGGGAGAGTGACAGAGACAGAGCCATGCAGAGGTGGGAGGGGGCCAGGGGAGGGGTGGGTGGCAAGATAGAGACTGATGTGAGGGAGACTTTGAGGCACAAGCCCTCAAGCCTAGGACCTAGAAGAAATCTCAGGTCTGCAAAAAAAAAATCAGATTGGATAGGGAAGTCAGACTGGGAACTGGTCAGGCCACGCTGCTGGCTGCTGGCTGTGTCTCTGCCACTCAGGCAGTAAGGATGGGCTGGGCGGGGAGTCAGGAATGATGACAGTCACGTCAGGTGGGGGCAACACATCCCAGCCCCGCTTCTATCCCTGCAAATTCTCCCTGCAGATGTCTTCCTGTGGAGCTGATGGCGTGAGGGGGCGGGGCTCCCTACCCTTGTCCCCTTCCTCCTCCCCCCTACCCCTAAGCGGACTCTTAGAGGAGGCCCGCCCCCCTCATCCACAGGCTACCATGTTCTCGGTGAGCACATTTAGGCTTGCAGTGCCCCTTTGTCAGCGCTGGGCTCCTTCCTGCAAACGGGTGACTGGTTTCACAGTGTTTACTAAGACACATCTGCAGCCCTAATCCCTAAGAAGCTTTTGCAGGATAATTACTCCGCTGAAATTAATATTCTTGCAACTCATCTCCAAAGCTAACATCAACCCACTTCTCCCAAAAGGTATTGGCCCATTCAGTGACTCGAGGTTTTAGCCTTATGATTTTCTGCCATAAAATGTAAATTGGGCATGGCCTGCCAGGGATTTCACGCCTGCATTTAAATTTCAACCTCAGAGCAAAAAGGAAAAGGAAAAGCAGCTCGCATGCTCATAAACTCCCCCTAAGTAAATGGACTTATTAAAGCAGCCTGCAAAGCTAATACCTTGAATTCTTAAGAGGGACGCTGGACTTGGCCGGAAAGAGAGATGGGAGAGAGGGAATGGCACTCAGGGTAGGGGCCTTCTCGTCCTCGGAGCCTTCCTGATCTTGGCGTGACCAGGGTTTTTGTTGCTGGAAAACGTCGTGTCAAAGTACAAGTACCCTTGTATCCTCGACCTGAAGATGGGGACCCGGCAGCACGGGGATGACGCGTCTGAGGAGAAGAAAGCCCGTCACATGAGGAAGTGTGCGCAGAGCACCTCAGCCTGCTTGGGCGTCCGCATCTGCGGCATGCAGGTAGGTAGCAGAGGGCCCTCTGGAGAGTGGAGCGTCTTGGCACGTCCACTGCGGGGCAAGGGTGTCCCCCAACCAGACACCACTGGCCACAAAGCCCTTCACTTTGGGGGAGCGACACAGGAGGCAGCTGAGCACAGCCCTTCCACCCCGGGAAATGCATATCCCGGTCTATGACATGCTGGGATTCTTTTAAAGAGCCCCATTCAGGACAGCGGTGTCAAAAACCCACCATGTGTTAAACTCGGTCTCAGGGTCTCTCGCAGGTGAAATGTCCCAGCGGCCACGTGGGTCCCGCCCACGTTGAGAGCAGACCTTTGACCACAGTGTGTGAGCAGGGGCTGGGGAAAGGGCTGAAAAGGAGCTTCTCCGCTCACTCTGCTTCTTGATAAAGTCAAATCTCCTTCTCAGGGGCTGTTAAGGAACTCTGCTCTTTGCATTCTTATTAGCCATTCCTTCTTCCTACTCCACCTTCTCTGCTTTTCGCTGCCTGTTCTGGTTAGTGAAGTGGGAAGGTGGTAACCTGGTCAGCGGAGGCAAGGGAACGGCGACTCCACCCATTTTTGCAGCTCTGATGTGGCCTGTGGCAGAGGGGCTGCAGAATGGGAAGAAAGAGACTTTCCCCACGCGTTCTTTCTTCCAGTCTATCCCCTCAAAGCAAAACCAGACACCGATGTGACGGTACACGTTGAAGCTTTCCTTAATTGAAACTGCCACCCCTTGAAGCTGGAAGTTGAGTCTATAAATTTGTTGCACAGATGTCCCCTGGAAGGCTTGGAACGCAGTCCTCAGGAGAATGCAGTGTGATGATTTGGGGTGTAAATGGAATCTCTCCCTGGCCCTCAAATCTTCTGAAATTGATCTGATTTATTTAGACAGAGACGCCTGTCATGTATTTATGACGGCTAATTTAGCAGCCAATCCCCAGCCCTCCAAAGCAAGTCTATCATATTTTTCTGATTTTTTTTCTACACTGTTTTTCCGTAAACATATCCACATAATCTGAAGGCAGGAAAGACCTGAGAAACTGTCTTGGCCAGGTACGGGCTGCCCTTCCCAGGTGAGCCAGGTAGAGGTATGCCAAGTCATGGCCACACCAGCCCCTGTACAGCCCCTGCCATCTGAATGAAATGGGAGCAGTTGCCACTGTCCCCCCATCAGCATCTCCTCCATCTGCTCCCTTCCTGTGGCCAAGACATGACAGGGGAGGGGAGAGCCACTGGTGCCAAGGAGGAGCCACCAGCCCCATAGAGCTGCTGCTGTGACCCCTCCCCCCCCAATCTAGGCTCTCCTCAGCTGCACTGGCTGCGTGAAAACTCCATCCATACCTGATCTAGCCCATCTTTTTATCTTTTCCTCTTCAGTCACCCTGCTCTACCCCAAGAGTCATGACTGTTTCTCTAGAATCTGCAGAGAAAGGACTTTAGAAACTTCATTGGGGAAAATGGAATCTAGTTGGCTTTCCAAGGCCATTGGCTGTGATTTCAGATTCCTACTAAAGCTTTCTAGCTTGGGTTTGCTAATATTTGAATTGAAGAGGGCCAGAAGCCAGGGTTTAAATCATGATTTGGAGGATGACATTGGAAATTCGCAAGAAAGGCAATCCAAGCTTTTCCTCACGGGTGGAGGCTCACCTCTGTGGGGTGAAGGATCTTTACACCTTGGCTTCCTATTAAAGGCTTGCACAGAAAGCATTTTAAAATGTGAAAGTTCCACTGGTGCTTGATGACAGATCATCCTTCCATTCATCTCAGCCACTCTTGCCCTGCATCTCCCGGAAATCTGTTTATATATCACGTTAGCTTGTAACACTGCAACCATAGCAGGGGCAATATTTTTTTTAAGTTGGCAATTCTTCACATTTTCTTTCTCTTTTTATTGGAAGGTTTATCAAATTGATAAGAAGCACTTTCTCTGCAAAGACAAGTACTATGGAAGAAAACTCTCCGTTGAGGGGTTCAGACAAGCCCTCCATCAGTTCCTGCATGACGGAACCCGCCTCCGGACAGAGCTCCTGGAGCCCATCCAGCGCCAGCTCCGGGCCCTCCTCTCAGTCATTCGGAACCAGAGCTCATACCGGTTCTACTCCAGCTCTCTCCTCATCATCTACGATGGGCAGGAGCTGCCAGAAAGGACCTCAGGGGGCCTGCATCCTCCGGAGGCTCCGCAGCCGGCCCACGGCAGCTCTTCCGAAAGTCTCTCCAAAGTTGACGTTCGGATGATCGACTTTGCTCATACAACGTACAAAGGCTCCTGGAATGAGCACACCACCTACGATGGACCAGATCCAGGCTACATTTTTGGCCTAGAAAACCTCATCCAGATCCTGCAGGATATTCAAGAGGGAGAATGAGGCTTGTTGGGCCTATCCGGATGCTTCTGGAGTGCTGATATCAAAAGGGACCCATTGGTAGCTAGGGTACCCTAGACACTGTTAGATGTCTTTGTAATAATGACATCCACGTTCGAAAGCCACACGTGGCATATTGATGGCTGCTAAAGAAACCAGTTCTGGAGCTAATTCCACATCCTCTGGTATCTTATGCTAATTCTGGTCGTCGGAGGCCGGACAGGCAGTGTGAAATGGCACCATTGTGGAGTACATTGGAAGGCGTGAGTGAGAAGCCAGCATTAGAGTGAGATTCTGGAGAATTCGCATTTAAAAATGCTTTTTGTTGTCCTGCTGAATCCTTGGCAAGCTGTGAGGCAAAAGAAAAAAAGAAAAAGAAAAAGAAGAAACTCTACTTGAAGAAGACTTGACGAGTGAGTTCGTGAGCGGATGGTTTGTCTGCTCGCATGGGCTGCCCACTCCAAGGGCAGATACAACATTACAGTGAATGACTGTCTCTCACCTTCTTAAGAGGCATTCTCGGCAAGGCAAGAAGAAGTGGGACAGAGCTGCCCGTCTCACCACCTTCCTACCCAGGGTCTGGATGGACAAGGTCGATCCAGACACAGCCCGGGCAAATCAAGACCTCAGTTCTCCATTGTTGCCTATGGAGATAAGGGTCTCTTTCTAGACTTCCGGGTATCTATTGGAAGTGATGACTCTGCCAGATTCTGGCCACAAAAGGGCTCTAACCATGAAATGCAGTTTTCAGGTGGGGGTGGACTGCACAAAAGGATGACCCAGTGATATTAAATTACACCCCCTGCTTTCTATTTATTTATTTTGGGGGTGGGGTGGGGAGTCAGAAGAGAGAAGCCTGGAGGGCCAAGGAATCCAAGCGCAATGTTTACAAGACTGGTGGACAAGTGTAAATACGGAACAAAGAGCAAACGGTTCTAATTAATTCCTTCTTCTGCAGTGTGGAAACCCTATTACAATGCCCTTGAGTCGAGCACTAAGATACGTTACCCAATTAGGGAAATAAATTTGTTAATAAAATTGCTGAGGTCACCAGTGATTATTTGGTGTGTCTTATTACCCTTTCTGTTTGTTTATTCTGATCATCACGATGCACGGCAGTTCCAATTTATGGCCGACTGGAGTATACAGCAAGAACAGTTCACCGATCTCCTGCAATCCTTTGGGGATCCCTGGATAGGAAATGGTGGCTAATATACTATTTCCATGTAACTACAAGGCAGGTACCAGACCTGGGAAGTAAGCGGTCCTTTTATCTGACCTTTGGACAATGCAAAGTTAAATAATTGCTGTATTCTCCTGGCTAATTACCATCACCTTCCCAAAATCCACACTTAGGGAAGGAAAGAGTGGCCGGATAAAAACAACAACAACAAAAAACTGTTTAATTCTAGGATACATTATATGGATTTCAAAGCAACTTAACTTCCCTAATTAGGTTTGGCTGAGGGAACAATGTGCTCACTTACACACTCTGCACCCATGGTGGGAGAATTGAGTCAAAGGCTGTTGGGTGGCAAAAGGAAGTCAGCCGAAAACTAAATATTTGCTAAGGACAAAATGCAGCCCTAATACTGCTTTTTCTAGGCCACTTCCTTGCTTGAGAATCTGGTTCACCAAGTCCAATGCTCCCTGCCTTAGCTTCTGATTACTGCCCCCGTTCGCAGCCCTGGGTCCCGTGGGACCTGACGGAGGAGGAGAGGGATGACCGGCTGGAATATGAGTCTTTTGGGGCCGGCCACCCACGATGCTAAGTGTGCTGCAATCTCTGTGCTCGCTCCTGCCCACGTGACCCTTCTTCCCTCAGCCGCTCCTTTATCCCACAGTGCCCTTCAGAGGAGGCCTTCTTCCTCCTCCACCAAACGCTCGAGGCCAGCTAGCAGTTTTAGACTGTGCGTCCTAGACTCCAGGACTCACAGGGGTCACTGCTGTCTGAAATGTGTACGAGGCTCGGCGGACCCAGCCGAATGAGTCCACCCCAGCACTGTAAACCCAGGCAGAGAGAGAAGAACAGGAAGGTATGGCAAGAAGAGAAGATGGCGGGCATGCATGTGTTTGATCTCCAGTGGGAGTTTACTTTAAAACAGTAAGAGGGGTGAGAGAGCCCTGTATATCCAGTAACTGGCAAGGGGACACTGAACTGAGTAGCTTTTCTCTGTCCATCTTTGTGCTAAGCACTAGGGAAGATGCAGCTCTTGGGAGCATAGATTCGAGTTGAGGGGGCAGGAATAAGACGCACGAACTGGCGACACACCGCAAAGACAGTACCCGATGATACCGAGGATTCATCTGGGTGGTGCAGATGATCAGTCCTAAGAGTTGAAGAGGTCGGCTGACAGCCAACACACATCACAGAAACTGTCGGAGGAAGGGAGACTTCGTTTGGGCCCTGAAGGGTGACAAGAATGGGGAGGGGGCTGGCTGAGTGGAGGGAGGAAAGCTAGTATGCTCATCAGTCTGCCAGCCCAGCCAGAATGGAGATTTTGTGGCTGGGAGCAGTAGAATGAAGAGTAGAGAAGTGGAGTGAGCCCAGATGGCGGAGACACTGGAAAATCTGGCTGAGTGGCTCATTCGTTTGTGATTTCATTAATCTGTCCTTCCTTCCTTCCATTCATCCATCCAGCAAATATTTTCTGAGTGCCGGGTGCCTACAGCACAGTGCTAGGGCCTGTGTACAAAACGAGGAGGTGTGAGAGTCATGCCATTATCCTTAAGAACCTTATGACTTAATACGAAAGTGAAGCCCTCCTATGAAAATATGACTGCTCCGACAAGCATGGGCGCCGTTTGCTCAGCCATACAGGGCGCTACCCAGGGGAGGAGAGGCAGTTAGGGCTCGCTCCCACGTGCAGTGATCATGGAGGTGGTGTTTGAGCTGTGCCTTGGAAGGGAGGCAAGTCTGAGAGGGAATTAAGAAGCCAGGTATTATCGACAAGCACGGGAATAGGAATCAAGCGTTTTGCTCAGGGAACAGCAGTGGGGGGTGTTGGCCCCAGGGGTAGATGTGAAGAGGCACCGAGAGACATAGACATGGAGAAAGCCCAGCACTTGAGGACTGAGAAGGACCTCCCAACCTTCCACCTCTACTGCCCTCTCTTGTTGGGAAGCCTAGAAGGGCCTCCTGGCTGGCTTCCCTTTCCCCACGCTGGGGAGCCCTCTTCTTCCCTGAACTGAGAAACATACAGGTATCAGTCAAGGTGGGCTGTTAGAACAAACGGTCCCCAATAGCAGGAGCTTAACATTACAATCAGGTTTGGTCAGCAGAGAGCCTCCGCTCCACACAGTCATCCGGGACCTTCCATCTTGTGACACCACCACCTTCAATCAACCAACCTCGAGGCCTCGAGGCACAGAGAAGGCACAAGCACATTCCAGAGGCAAGGACCAGCCATGCATGGGCCCTCCCCAGATGCCAGCAGGCTGAGATGTAGTTTAACTGTGTGCCTGGAAACGGGTTTGATGAGACCCCAGCCAGTCTCTATTATAACTTCCAGGATCCTCATGTCAAATCAATACCTGACTTAAGGAGGGAGAAAGCAAGACACAAAGAGCACATAAGGGGCTACAGGAGGCAACAGGGGCCAGAGGGTGCCAGAGCTGCGGGCTCTGTCGCAGGTCCTTCCCCTGGCCACGTCCGCATATGGTGAGGGGGAGCCCAGAGCGCTGGCGGACTTGGTTCAGTCTCCCTGCCTCAGCTGCCCCCAAGAGCTCTCACTGGGTCCTCAAGACAGGTGATGCAGAGGAGTAACCATCTCTTGACCTCCCCACCAAGGGGGACCAAGGGCAGCCTGGGTGCCAGTCACCCAGCCCCGCCTCCTCCCTCTGGTGTCGGGGTGTGATTAAAGAGGAAGTGACAGAGCAGAGTGTTATTACAACTTTTCCATGACGCAATGTCATCAGGAAGCCCTGGGCCTCTGGACAGCACCCTGGCAGTCCCATCCCTCTTCCCAGCTGCTGGGAGCCTTGCAGCCCGTGCTGGGAAGCACAGGAAGCGGTCTGATAAAACAAACGGCCAGGCAAGGCCACTCATCAGCAGCTCTTCAAAATGATCTAAACTTCTGACTTTTGATTTAAATCTGTATCCACTGTGGCCAAAAACAGAAAACAGAAGATGAGGGAAAGAACTGAAATGAAGGCGTGGGAGCCAAGAACTGGAGGGAGGGAGGGAGGGGAAGCAGCTCTGGGACAATACCAAGTTGAGCACCAGCCAGGCCGGGCTGACGTGCAGCCAGGTTGGGTCCTTTTCATTAGGCATCTCTCAGAACTTCCCTCTTCTGTTACTAGGCTGCCCTGAAAAGGGACAGGAAGTTGGAGAGCTAATCCCTGTGCCAAATCCAGAAATCTACCTGCTCCTGATCTGCCCTTCACCCTTCTTCCTGAGACCTCTCAGGGGGACAATCTCACAGGGACGGGCGTCCGGGTGGGGCCTGGCAGGCCAGGAGACCCGGGGCTGTACTCTAACGCCATCCGTTCTCTTCAGATTCGTTTACTGAGAGATGGCTGTATGCCAGGGCCCGCTGTCAAACAGTGACTAGTGTCTTGCGGGGACCAAGAGTGGCAGGGCCACTCCTTGAACTGGGGACCAGGGAGGGCCTCTCTGAGGTGACATCAACTAGAGCAGAGTGAAGGGAGGGAGGCAGGGCCCAGGGCAGAGGACAGACGTCTGACAGACATCAGAGGGGTTCTGGGCACATTGGGCTGTGCTTTAGGACCCCACCGAGGCCCACCCCAGCACACCTCGACACCCGCTGGTCTTGGAAAAACGGCTCACCTCCAGAAAAAGGCGGCAATCTCCCGCCAGCCCGACCCTTCGGGCTCCCCTCTGTGCAGGGGCATTAACTGACTGGCTTCTCCCATGCAAGTCCGGACCCACTTTTTGTGGTAACATATCTGCATATTGCGGCCAATCATGTCCTCCGGTTGAATAAGTTGAAAGAAGAAAAAGCAGGCGATCACGCCCCACAATACGGCTAAGTATTTAATTCATTTTTAATGTTTACATTATTAACACCGGCATTACAAAGTGATATTTTTACTTTCAAGCGATTTAAATGTGCAATTCGGTGTCTCAATTACTGGGATCATTATAACCTGAAACACTGAAGCAACACTCACTCCCTCCTCTCCTCCCCCTAAGGTGCCAGTTTCTATAAAGAGCAACCGCGACTCCATGGAGCCCAAATACCCATTCCAAATGGATCAGGAGGTACAGCCCTGGTGGGGGTTTTCAAGGAGCCAGGGGAGGTCGCATTCGGTGTAGAGTGAGTGACAGCCGGCAGGTGGGTGTTAAAACGGTCATCAACTCTCTGAGGGCACTGCCAAGTCACATTCTAGGCAGTTGCCTATTAATGTGTCCAAAATGGCGCTGGGTGACTGACAAGCCAATGAGCCCAGACTCAGGCTCCAACCACCCACAGGCATGAGAAGGTGGAGGGCACATGTAGAACAAGACTGAGAGGCCCCAGGGCCCCTGGGGAGATATGGTGCATACTAGACACACGGCGCATGCGGTCCACGGTAACACTGCAGAGAGGCCTGATGGGGCATCCTGATGGAGGGGGTGAGGGCGTGGGCTCTGGAGCCCCCAGCTGGGGTTCAAGTCTGCATTCTGCCACTTACCGGCTAGTGACCTTGGCAAGTGCTCATCCTCTGTACCTCAGTCTCCACCTCTGTGAAATGGGGACAATCATGGTACTTCTGAGAGCCATTCTGAGGACAAAATGGCCAATATTGTATGAGGCATCTAGAACAGTGCCTGACACACAGCACATACTCAGTAAGTATTACTTTATCACTCTAATTCCCATTTTTGGAAGAAATGAACTCAGAGATGAAATAACCCACCTAAGGCTGGCGGCTCCGAAGGCCTTTGCTGCCCCTCTTGTCCATCGTGTGACTCTGGTATTTCTCAAATAAAAGCTTCTCCAGACCACCAGGACCCCACCTCTGCCCCAATCGCTGTGGACCCAGCACCCTGCCTAGAATCTCTCCCGAGCACTTATTGTATCTGAAATTTTCTTATTCCTTTATTAAACCACTTAA